TCTCAAAAAAAAAAAAAAAAAATACAAATCCATAAAAAGTATGCTTTTTAGACATACTGCTTCAATATTATATTTACTAGGCTCCTGCTAGGAATGAGACACAATGCTAATGACTATTTCATAACTAGTAGACTAGATGATGCTTCAGGAAGAAACAGTCCTCAAAACTAAATGGGATATCATACCAGGAGGTTGATTTTTTCTCCAGCAGCATCTCTATCATAGGTCAAGTGGAGGCTCTGCTGCAGACTTCTTCATTTCTAGAGGACGGGCAAAAATGTAAATGGGCTGCCATTTACATTTATCTTAACAGAAAAAAAAATGAGTGTTCCCTGAAGTCTTTGCAGACAATTTAATATTCTGGTCTGAAATTGACACAAGTTACTTCTGTTCATAAGCAATTGACCAGAACTAATAATTTGCTCCATCCAAACATGAAGTGGTAAGGCAATGCAATCCTGCTCTGCTTCGAAAGCAGATACTGTAAGTATTCTGTAAACAGTACTATTGGCTGTCAAAATGATTTCACTTGCATGCATTTTAGAGTTACAGGATTGTGACTCAAAGCCAAAATTACGTAGTTGGAAAGTGGTGCTTCTGAGATTTGGACCCAGATCTACCTAATTTAAGAGCTTCTAATGTAGACACTATAATGTTTCTATTTTTTTCACATCTGAATTTTTCTGTGAAAATTGAAGTTGCAGTAGAAATGGAAAGATAATAAAAGATAAACAGTGGAAAATGAAATGAGTAAATATAGACAAAAATGAAATTCCACATTTCATCTGTTAGTGACTTACCCTCTTCTTTGATATTTCATTTGGTTTAATTTTCAAGAGGTACATTTTTAAATATCTTTGCTTTTTTATATGTATAACATATTCATTTTTTAATTTATACTCAAGAAAAATGTTTTTTCTCCTAAAATCACATCCTGAGCCCCACAGAATACTATAATGATATTGCTTATTTCTATGAAACAAATGGCTCCCTGCAGTATTACTTTCAGATGAGATCATATCAGCTCTCATAAGGTGAGACAAGTAGGGGTTGTGTACAAATGAGATCTCCTGGAAAAAAAGATACTGTAAGAAAATACTTTCAGGGACTCAATAAATAACATTTGGGGGTGATTAAATAATAAAAAGAATTTTTCAGTCTTAGCAAGCTACTAAAATTCAACATCACAGTGCTTATTTTAGATGCTGTATAACCAAAATTCTAGATTGTAACAATCTTTGTGTTCATTCTCATTTGTATAAGTTATAAAAACTTCAGGAACTAGCTGGATTTAAAAATTACAACAGAACACTAATATGTTGGTTTGCACTAATTTACTTACAACGTGACAGAGGCTTTTTTTTTTCCTGTCAAGATTTCCTTAAATTTGTGTTACTAATAAAGTATTTCCATTTCTTTCTCCTTATGCAAGTGAATTAAAACAAGGCTATATACAGATACTAACCCATACTGTGAATTTGCTACACAAATGCATCAGTTAATAAAATGTTAGGTGAGGACAGTTTTCAAGTCATGTCTTACAAAGGCATTTAGATTTGTTAGAATTGCCTGAATATGGGAATGGGAAAATGTAGCTCATAAGATTTCTGCTTAATATGAGAAAGATCTTCATAAAATTACAAATGTCCAACAATGTTAAAGGCTTTGGTAGATAGTACTGAGCTCTAGAATCTTAGAAAAGCTTTAAGCAAAGATTTAAACATTTCCATAGAATTACTGGAGAAGGAAACTGACCAAAAGACAGGAAGTTGTGTTTCCATTCTAAGATTCTATGATTCAGCTAATGATGCAATGCAAATACTCAGCAAACACCGTTCAGCACTTAGCATTTCTCATGTCTGAGCAGCTTGGCCATCCCAGAAAAAAACCTAATCAATTTAAGTAAATTCTATGAGCAAAAGATGTAGACATGGTCACCTCAAGATGTAATGTCAGTTTACCTTAGCTCTAAAAAATAGAAAAATAATGATGTTTGAAGAAGGGTTTTGAACAATCTGAGTCCCTACAGTAGAAGACAAAAAAAANAAAAAAAAAAAAAAGACCAAGTAAAGTATGCAGAGAAAGAGGAGGTCACATTAAATGAGAAAAAGGCAGAAGGTAGAGAAAAAACAGAGTATTGAAGTTGGAGAAAAGGACATCCTACTGTCAGGTTGTACCCTCTTATCAGGCAAGTGCTTTGTAAAGAATATGAATAAAAGATGAAAAATCCCTTTTCAAAGATTGAGCTCCTACCAGCTCCCTAGGGAGGGGAGAAAGGGACTTAGCTGTTATGATGGTAACTTTGAACATCTCAGGCACTTAGCTAGCCCCCTCCTGGGTCTAATAAAAACCAAATCAAGTCCATTAAATACTTAAGTATAAAAAGCTCTCTAAGTTTTATCCACTGAATGTGTGGATTTTAATGGTAGCTTGATAAAGTTTAATAAACAATTCTGGGTGGTACTCACATATACAAAGTACATAAATGTATTGTTATTATTCACAATTTAAAGTACCAAAGTACCTCTCAAATACTCTGTATTTTAAAAACAACTTGTTTAGAAAAAGAATGTTATATTATTAGAAGTCAAGATAAAGAGATTCATGAGGACTATAAATCTTAGAAAAAAACAATCTGCAAAGACCCAAAGAAAAGCCCAACATAACATTAATATATTACATAGTGCCTTTCGATTCAAATATAAAGGCTGCAGCACAAAGGACAAAATATATATAAGAAGAGATCGATTTATACATCATTTGAATCAAGGCACTTCTATCTGACAAATTTGTCAGTGCCAGCAACAATGTACCAGGTTAACAGAGGAAGTAGAAGACAACTTACCTTATAAATATACCAGACTCTATATAGGTAAATTGATACATTTAATATAAATTTGATTAAAATGCCTCTGAAAATCACCTCTCTCTCTCTCTCTCTCTTCCCCCCGTCTCTCTTTCCTCTCTCCTGTCTCTTTCTCTCTCTCTCCCCTTCTCTCTTCTCTCACTCCTCTCTCTCTCTCTCACCCCCCTCTATCTCTCTCTCCTGCCACCCCTAAAATAACTGGGCTCTGATGGGCTTTGATAATCACATGCGGGAGGAAATGGAGAACTGGGAGGACTCTGATTTAAAGGAACATTTTTTCATAGATAATGGGAATCTGAGTATTGTGATGCATTTCCCTGGATGGTTTGCCAGGACTTCAGGGGACTAAGAACTACAGAAAAAGACTATAAAGCCTCATGTTTTAGTCAATGTAATTCTGAAACCCCCAGCACCCCTTATATGTACCAGGCACATCTGCTTGTAGGTTGTCCATTGTCACACTTCCTTCTGGAGACAATGTATCAATCAGTACAGCACAGCACTTGACCTAAGTGAGAAATTGAGCCAAAGAAGTCATCACCAAGAAGCTGGCTCCAAATGTACAGCTTATTATTTACAACATTATCGAAGAGGTTAGGCAAAGCCATAATTGAGTTATTTTCAGCTTCTGTCTCTACAGGTCATTGTAAATATGCTTCCCATTGCAACTACTCCTTAATCTTTTATTCATTATATCCCCTTATATCTGTGAACATTCAGCCTCCATTACAGTGTTTGAAAATCACAATGACCTTAATAAGATCAAAAAGATTATCAAATTGCATATTATATATATTGGCATATAGACGTGAATTATTTAGTATTTTTGCAATTTGAAGTGTCATTTACCCAATCCTTAAGTTAAGTGGAGGGTGTTCAATAGTTCAGTCATAGTAAAGTATGAACTGTAAAATAGCATTTAGAACAACAGAAAGGTGATTGAAATGGTCATTGTTGGATTTCTTTTATGCATAGTGAGAGGTATCTTCTTTCTTTTGTGTCATCACCCTGAGCTCACACACATAATAACTAGGTAGGACCTAGGTGATTTAAAACGCTCTTGCTATCCAATTGCACATTGATTCTTCTTTTTCTAAGTCAGTAGGGTGGCTAAAGCAAGTATCATGTGAGTTTAAATATGGTGGCTACATCATACAGAAACAGAAATGTACATTTTCTTTCGTTGCTTCTAAGAAGAGACAGTGAATAAAAACAATTCATCCACAGTCATTTGTCTGGCAGGCATTTAACAATTGTTTAGTTCAGAATTTCCATGCCCTAGTTCAGTGAAGCTTGAAATCACAGAATTGTTTCTCATTTTGCTCATATGTTATCTATATGCTTGAATGTACTGCTAAATGGATTTGAATGTGAACTATCAGTGCTAAGTAGAAAGTTTCTTTTGCATGATTAGAGCATCTTTCATATAAGTAGTCTGGGTTGCACTAGAGATTTTTATAGCACATGTTAGATTATTGTTTTACACTTCTTTCTTCAGGGTTTCTGAGAAGAGCGCCCTACACTAACAGTCTAGGTAACACACAGAAATATACGTTTTTGTTTATAATATGTTATGTTAATTAATAAAATACTATGTATTTTCAACAATTGTGAAGCATTACTCTACGGGCAGACCTCATTTCAAGGAGGTCACATTGTGTCTAAACTTCAACTTAAAATTACCAATATGGGCTAACTTGCTCCTGCCTGCTCACTGACAATACCACCAGTCATGTAGTTACTCAGAAGCTGCGGCAGCTCAAAGGTACAAGATTCTGATGTGGGCAATTAGCCTGCCTTCCCTCTCCTGAGATAGGTATCATGTTATTGAGTACATATTTATGAAACAGACTCAAAGACAAGGCAGCAAATCAGGTAAATTAGAAGAGCAGAATGGAAATAAGAGTTAAATAATGAGTGTTTTAAATACTTATAAAATTGCATAGCTAGAAGGCATCTTAAATGTGATTTAGTTTAATTATCTAATTCTGTAAATAAGAAATTTAGGTCTCACAGACTGAGTAAGCCAATGAAATACAAAAATAAGCTTTAGTTGAACAAGAGAAGTTGTTAAAAAATGCCAACACCATACAACTGCCCTCAGAGAGGAGTAGCCAGGAGTTTCATACACATTGTCCAAAGACACGTAGCAAATTAGAGCTTAATATAGTACTAGATTCATGCAGAAAGGACCAGTGTGACACCATGCCATGGCTGACATGACAACAAAAGCAAAAATCTTTTGAAGATGAGTAGTTGTGGCTCCTAATGGCCCAGTGGCAATGACCCAAACCAATGGATAAAAATATGTGAAGACTTGATAATTTTTCTAGAAAAATAGGTGATATGTTAAAACTCTTACAAACTGGGCTACATTTTAGGGCAGATCTTCTGTTTGAAGACACATTTAGAATGCTGAGTGGTTTTAAGATGGTAGGCCAGCAATATCAGCACAGAGAAAGCTGCATAAGAATAGACATTAACATTTTCAGGAATTATTTCAGTCTTACTGATCACTTCTATTTTAATGTGGTTTTAATTTGCCTGCTCTGTGTTTGTGCCCCATGTACCATTAAAACCTGGATATTTCCCTTTTTTTTTTTTGAAGTCTCTGTCATTGCCCAAGTTAAAGCACAGAGGTGCAATCTCGGCTTACTGCAACCTCCACATCCCAGGTTCAAGCAATTCTCCTGCCTCGTCCTCCCAAGCAGCTGAGATTACAGGAGCCCTCTATCATGCCCGGCTAATTTTTGTATTTTTAGTAGAGACAGGGTTTCACCATGTTGGCCAGGCTGGTCTCAAACTCCTGACCTCAGGTGATCCTCTCGTTTTGGCCTCCCAAAGCACCGGGATTACAAGTGTAAGCTACCATGACATGCCGATATTTAGCTTTTCTTTTCTCCCTATTGTTTTTCATCTCAAAACCAAGGATCAGATATAACTTAGTCATCTCACTTGAGCTATTGATTTTGTTGTATCTAGCATATCTGTTACTTGTAGGCTTTCGAGTCTCTGTTTCTCAATTTGTACTACATAGGGATAATCAGTAACATCATAACACAGACTCTAATTATCATTTCATTGCATCCATGTTTTGAAAGATCATTGTTTCTATAGCTGTGTATTATTAACTGTTTAGGCCATTTCTAGAATAGCAGCTGTGATATATTGCAAAAACCTGTTGAAATTACCCTCCCTGTCTCCAAGCCTTTCATGTTGTAACACAGTGGTACTATCTGTCTGTGACTCTAGTCTTGGTCACATAACTTGCTCTGGCAAGTCATATTTGCCACACATGTAAGGTTACTTGCTACATGCAGAGGTAGGAATAAGCACTCGGATGTTTCTGTTTTGCCATTCTTGAATCTCTGCCAATGCTAGACATGCCCATGGTGGTCTGCTGGAGCATAAAACGTGTGAACTACAGCTGAGTTGTACTATTTTTTCCTACTGAGGCCATCCACGTTTAGCCAACAGCCAAATGAAGAGTGTGCATGTGTGTAAGCCCAGCTCACTCCAGAGCAGCAGAAATGCTCAGCTGAGCCCAACTAAAAAGTTAACCTATGAGTTTGTGTGCTAAATAAAAGTTTATTGTTTTATTTCACTGAAGTTGATGTGACTTACTGAGCAGCTCTTTTGGAACAATAAATGACAATTATAGGAAGAAATTTTTACCTAGAAATGAAACACTATTGTAACAAAACATAGCACACATTGGACTTGCTTTGAGATTAAACCGCATGGGACAAAGAAACTGTTAGGGGAAGTAAGAAACATGGCAAGAAAGCTACTATTGCAAGGATGGAAAAAATGCCAATTCATATTTTGTAGTGGCAAAAACTTTGGCAGAATTGTTACCCGTGGTGCCTTGAAAGAAAAATTAGTTCCTTAATGAAATTTTACACTTGGGAGAAGTTATTTTTAGATAAAATGTTGGTAGCATTTCCTAAGTTGTTTTCTTTTTCTATGAATAAATATATATTACAAGGAAAGAGAAAGAAAGAGAGAGAGAGAGGGAGGGAGGGAAAGAGGGAGGGAGGAAGGAGGGAAGGAAAGAAGGGAGGTAGGGAGGGAGGGAAAGAGAGGAAAAGAAAGAAAGAGAGAAAAGAAAGAAAGAAAGAAAGAAAGAAA